ACCCACCAGCCACTCCTCGGAAGGAAGGTTGGGCAATCCTACTTCTGTAGTGATACTGCCTTGGAAACCCAAGGAGGGGTCGCTAGGAGTCGGGGTTGACTCAATGGCAAATAACAACAACAACATATTTTATATTGTTATAATAATTAAGTCTGCTTGCGAGGGTCAGGAAAACCATTTTAACAATAGTGTATTTCCTTCTCATGTAAACGAAAGTTGGAAATAAGCCATCTAGTGATAGTAGAACAGCTTCATAAGATCGATAGGCATCAGGCTCTGCCTCTCTTCCTACTCTATCACCCTCAGCTCTTGGCTTCATGGTCTAAGATGGTGACTTCAGATCCAGCACCAAGCCCCCATTGTTATATCCAGTTACTCTCCAAGAAGAAAGAAGCAAAGAGAGGTGTTTTTTTTCTCTCTAGAGACACTTACTGAATATACCACATAACATTTCCTTTTCCTCATTGGCTGCACATAAGACTGGGAAATAGTTTTATTTTGGAAGCTGTGAGGCTAGCTAAAAGTCAAGGATTTATGTCTAAGTAAAAAGGGGAGAACGGGGTATTGGAGTTCAATCATCAGTCTCTGACATAGTTTGAAAATCATGATTTCACAGATTTACAGAATTTTTGAACAAGTGACTTTACAATCATTCCTTCCAAATCCTTCTTTTCACAGATGAGGAAACAGCAGAGCACAGAAGTTAAGAGATTTATCATGATCATGTAGAGGTAGAACCCAGGTTTCTTAGACCTCAATGTGAAATTTTGGATAGTCTATAACCTATGATGATAGGTTAGGTATGGTGGTTTAAGAAAAAGATTCACCAAAAGTACTTTAAATTAGTATATTTACTACATTTAAAAGGTTTTTATATACCAAAGTTGTTCTTATTTCAGCTTTAAGATTCACATAATACTAATAACATTTTCCCATGTAAAGCCCAAGTCTGATATACAAACACATCCATGCATTTAAGTATCAGGCTCATCCTTATGTGTTTAAATGGAAAACAAACTAAACCATGAAAAAAAGAAAGACTACAAATATGGGTACATAATTTATTCACTCTTGAGTTTGAAAAAAACTTTCTAAGCATAAAAGTAATGATATCAAAACAAAAAAAGATGAATAGCTTTGGTTACATTAACAATAAAAAAGTTTTATGCCAGAAATATCATAACCAAAATTATTATGAAAAAAGGACACAAACAGGTGATTCTTGGAGCAGAAATGCATAAGGTTATTCAAAATAACAATGTTAGTATTACTCCATCAAATAAATGCAAACAAAAACAAGAAACTATATATTCCTTGTTTGATTGGCAAGAAAATACAAAAATTCAATGTTAGGTAAAGTGGAATATTCCAGAAGGCAATTTGACCATAGAAAAGGGTTTTTAAATGTACAGTATATTCATAGTGTTGCATACAAGAATAAAATATTGAGAATTTCCTGAAAGTACCTTTTTCTCCTTTATGTAGCCATCATCTCTTCGAAGAGTGACCATTGCCTCTTTGCCCAGAAATATTGGAAATGCAGGAATGGTAAGAAAATTCCTAACATTTTTAGTAAAATGCATCTTCATTTTCTTATGACAAAAATCTGAACTTACCTCACAAAATTAATATTTTATCATTTCTTTAACATCTGATCTTCTAAAGGTTGCTGGGGTGGAAAATAATGACCGATTCAGTAGGAGATCAAGTAGTTGGTAGGTATAATTTTGTGATTACTTTTTCAGAACTTTACTATTTTATAATTTGGACTAATATAAATAAGCATTTGAAATAAATGATACATTTGATTTGTACGTAGTATAAGCAGAATAAATAATTTTTAAAATGCATATAATGTCACAGGGCTGTTTTATTATGAAACAGAAGTTATGTGAATGTGCCAAGAAATTAATTATATAATTTTTGTATTAATTTAAGCAATACATAACAAAGTGATAATGAGTAAAGATATATTTCATTTGACAAGTGGATATAATCATCTTTATTTAGGCGTATTTTAGGGTCAAAGCACAGTGAACATCGTCCTTCATTACATCGATTTATTAGCACCTATTCCTGGGCAGATGCTGATGAAGAAAAATCTGAACTAAAGTAAGTGAAGCATGGTGTGCTTATTAATCTGATGTGAACAAGGGCATAAACTGTAAGGGTCCTATTTATTCAGAGATGAGATCAATACTCCAACATCAGAAAGATAATTCAATATGAAAGACTTTTTATAAAGCACTATATAAAATATTTTTGTGAATACATTCACTCTTGTAGCACTCAAATACTGCAAGGTTAGATGTCTTGAGTTAGTAAAGACCCTGGAATTTGGCAGACTTGCAAAGATAATTTTTTCCTGAATAGGTATCTGACCTTCAGAAGGAAAGTTCAAAAAAAGAGCCACAGAAATAAAATGTTCATTAACTATTTTTTAAAAGAATTTTTAAAAGAAATATGTGTGGCATATATGTATATGTAACATGTGCATATATGTAATATATGTGTTGTGTATACTTCTTTAATAATGAAAATCAAGAGTAGGATAAACATAAAACTATTCAGCAAATTAAATAAACTAATAAACTTCCATGTTGTTGTTGTTGTGTTGTTATGTTTGCCATCGAGTTGGCTCTGACTCATAGCGACCCCTCCTTGGGTTTCCAAGGCAGTATCACTACAGAAGTAGATTGCCCAGCCTTCCTTCCAAGTAGTGGCTGGTGGATTAGCAGTCAAATGCCTTAGGCACTATGCCATCAGTACCTCCATAGTGAGAGGTATATGAAAAAATGCTGCCACTGAGTCATTGGGTAACTTTGTGAAAAACTGCTTAACTTTGTGTGGTCTCAGTTTCCTCATCTGTAAATTAAGAGATTTTAATGAAAGGATTTTATGTTCATTTTATACATGTTCATTGAATATCTCTTATGTGATAGGCACTATTCTCAATCCTAAAGGATATAAAGATTAGCAGACACAGTACCTACTCTAAAAGAGTCCATGGAAAATCTTGTAAAAATATTTTCAATGTAAAGATAGTTAAAACAATCTAGTATTACTGAACTGGGATATAATTAGATTGACTGTATTTTGAATAGGAGCTCTGGTAGACTAGTGCATAAAATTGTGTTAACTACAGAGTTTCTGCCACCTGAACAGAACTTAATGGTTTTTATTTTTGAATAATTCTCAGAGTCTACCTGTCTCACAGGACCTCTGGTGGCTCAGTGGTTAGAGCACTTGGCTGCTAACCAAAAGGTCCATCAGTTCAAACCTACCAGCCACTCTGGGGGAGAATGAGGGGGCAGTTGGCTTCAGTAAAGATTTACGGCCTTGGAAACCCTATGGGGTAGTTCTGTTTTGTCCTATAGGGTCACTATAAGTCAGAATCGACTTGATAGCAGTGGGTGTTTTTGGTATTTGGACTTGTCTTAGTTATCTAGTGCTGCTATGACAGAAATACCACAAGTGAGTGGCTTTAATAAACACATTTACTTTCTCCAAATTTAGGAGACTGGAAGTTCAGAGTCAGAGTGACACCTCTAGGGGAATGTTTTCTCTCTGCGTTGGATATGGAGGATCTGACAACTTCTTATTTCTTCTGAGCTTCTGCTCCTGGGCAATCTATGTCGCTTGGCATCTCTCTTCCACCATCTCTGCTTCCTAGTTTGCTTATTTAATTTCTTTTATATCTCAAAAGAGATCAACTCAAGATACACTCTACACTAAGCCTGCTTCGTTTGCATAACAAGGACTACCCATTCCCAAATGGGATTATAACCACAGTCATAAAACAAACCAAACCCACTGCCATCCAGTCCATTCTGACTCACAGCAACACTACAGGACAGAGTGGGACTGCCACATAGGGTCCAGGGCTGTAAATATTCATGGAAGCAGACTGCCTCATTTTTTACCCACAGAGTGGCTCTGGTTAGCAGCCAAATGCTTTTACCACTGTGCCACCAGAGATCCTTAACCACATTCACATTGTTAATGTTTTGTTAAGTGTTGCCACATTGGTTTCAACTAATAGTGACCCCATGTACAACAGAATGAAGGATTGCCTGGTCCTGCACCACTCTCATAATCTTTGCTATGCTTCAGCCAATTGTTGCAGCCACTGTGTCAATCCACCTCCTTGAGGGGCTTCACCTTTTTTGCTCACACTCTACTCTACCAAGCATGATATGCTTCTTTAGGGATTTATCTCTCCTGATAATATGGCCAAAGTATGAAAGATGAAGGCTGGCCATTCTTGTCTCTAAGGAGCATTCTGGCTATACTTCTTCCAAGAGGAATTTGTTATTCTTCTGGAAATCCATGGTATTTTCAATATTTTTTGCCGACACCATAACTCAAAGATATTAATTCTTCCTTAGTCCTTCTTACTTACTGTCCAGCTTTCACATGCATATGAGGCTATTGAAAAGACAATGGCTTGGGTCAGGTGTACCTCAGTCTTCAAAGTAACATCTTTGCTCTTTAAAACTTTAAAAAAGTGTTTTGTAGTAGATTTTCCCAGTACAAAATGTTATTTAGTTTCCTGACTGCTGCTTCCATGGGCATTGATTGTGGATCCAAGGAAAACCAAAGCCTTGACAACTTCTATCTTTTCTCCATTTATCATTATGTTGCATATTGGTCCTATGGTAAGGATGTTTGTTTTATGTTAAGGTGTAATCCATACTGCAGACTGTAGTCTTTAATGTTTAATGTAAGCACTTCAAGTCTTCTTCACTTCAAGTCATCTTCAAGGAAGGTTGTGTCATCTGCATATCACAGGTTGTTAATGAGTCTACCTCCAATCCTGATGCTGCATTTTCATACGGGCCAGCCTCTCGGATTATTTGTTCAGCATGAGGACACAATCCTGCTGCACACTTTTCCTGATTTGAACCATGCAGTGTCTCCTGTTCTGTTCCAACAATTGCCTCCTGGCCTATGTACAGGTTCCCTATGAGTACAATTAAGTGTTCTGAAATTCTTATTCTTTACAATGTTTTCCATAATTTGTTATCCACACAGTTGAATGCCTTTGCATAGGCAATAAAACACAGGTAAAAACATGTTTCTGGTATTCTTTGCTTTCAGCCAAGATCCAGCTGACATCAGCAATGTTATCCCTTGCTCCTCTTCTGAATCAAGCTTGAATTTCTGGCAGTCCCTGTCAGTATATGGCTGCAACTGGTTTTCAATTACTTTTCAGCAAAATTTCACTTGCATGATTTATTAATTATGTCATTTGATAATTTCTTCAGTCTTTTGAATTACCCATGTTTGGAATGGGCACAAATATGGATCTATTTCAGTCACTTGACCAGGTAGCTGTCTTCCAAATTTCTTGGTATAAACAAGTGAGCATTTCCAGCATTGCATCCATTTGTTTAAACATCCAAGTTGTTATTCCATCAATTCCTGGAGGCTTGTTTTTTTTTTTTTTTTTTTTCAAATTCCTTCAGTGCAGCTTGGACTTCTTCCTTCAATACCAGTTGTTCATATGCTTGCTGCCTCCTGAAATGGCTGAACATCAATCAGTTCTTTTTGGTTCAGTGACTGTGTGTATTACTCCCATCTTCTTTTGATGTTTCCTTCATTGTTCATATTTTGCCCACTGAATCCTTCAAAATTGCAACTCGAGGTTTTAATTTTCCTTTAGTTTCTCCAGCTTGAGAAGCCATATTCTGCTCTTTTGGTTTTCTAACTCTAGTTCTGTGCACATTTCATTATAATACTTTACTTTGTCTTCTTAAATGCACTTTGAAATCTTCTGTTCAGCTCTTCTACTTCATCATTCCTTCCATTCACTTTAGCTACCCTCTGTTCAAGAGCAAGTTTCAGGGTCTCCTATGACATCTATTTTGGTCTTTTCCTTTTTTTCTGTCCTTTTAATGACCTTTTATTTTCTTCATTTGGTAGCGTGCCTAAGGCACTTGACTGCTAACCAGAAGTCTGGTGGTTCAAACCCACCAGCCACTCCTCGGAAGGAAGGTTGGGCAATCTACCTCCATAGTGATACCTCCTCAAAACCCAAGGAGGGGTTGCTATGAGTTGGGTCCGACTCTATGGCACATAACAACAACATGATGTCTTTGATGTGATCCCACAACTCATCTGGTCTTCAGTCATTTGTGTTCAATGTATCAAATCTGTTTTTCATATGGTCTCTAAATTCAGGCAGGATATACTGTAGGTCATATTTTGGCTCTCGTAGACTTAGTTTAATTTTCTTCAGCTTAAACTTAAATTTGCGTATGAGCAATTAATGTTCTGTTTCACAGTTGGCCCTGACCTTGCTCTGACTGATGATACTGAGTTTTTCCATCACCTCCTCCCACAGATGTAGTCAATTAGATTCCTGTGTATTCCATTTGGTGAGGTCCACATGTATAGTCACCATTTATGTTGTTGAAAAAAATGGTATTTGCAATGAATAGATTTTTAGTCTTCCAAAATTCTACCATGCAATTTTTAGTGGCATTTCTATTACCAAGGCCATATTTCCCAACTACCAATGCTGTGTCTTTGTTTCTAACTTTTGCATTCTAATCACGAATTGATAAGTAATTACCAATTGCATGTTTGCGCAAATTTTGGAATGCACAAGTTGGTAAAAATCTTCAATTTCTTCATCTCTGGCTTTAGTAGTTGGTGCATTAATTGGAATAATAGTATTAAATTGTCTTCCTTGTAGGTATATGGATATTATACTATCACTGACAGCATCATACTTCAGATAGATCTTGAAATGTTCTTTTTGATAATGAATGTGACACCATTCCTCTTCAGTTTTTCATTCCTGTAGTGGTATATCACACAATTTTCTGATTCAAAATGGCCAATGCCAGTCCATTCCAGCTCACTAATGTCTAGGATATCAATCTTTATGTGTTCCATTTCATTTTTGACAACTCACAATTTTCCTAGGTTCATACATTTCACATTCTGACTATTAATGGATGTTTGCAGCTGTTTCTTCTCATTTTGAGTCATGCCACTTCAGCAAATGAAGGTCCTAAAAGCTTTACTTTACCTACATCATAAAGTTCACCTCTACTTTGAGCAGGTCTTCCCCAGTATTTATTTATTTTTTTTTTTTGAGTGCCTTCCAATCTGAGGGGCTCACTTCTGATACCATATCAGACAGTGTTTCACTGCTATTCATCAAGTTTTCAGTGGCTAATTTTTTCACAAATGTACCACCTCTTCCTTCTTCCTAGGCTTTCCTAGTCTGGAAGTTCTGCTGAAACCAGTCCACTCTGGGTAACCTTGTTGGTATTTGAAATAACTGTGACATAGCTTCCACCATCACAATAACACCCAAACCATTACACTACAGCAAACTGACAGACAAGTGGTGGGTGTCGCTACTATTCACAAAGTTTTCAGTGGCCCTCTTTTGCAGAAATAGGTTGTCACATCTTTCTTCCTAGTCATAGAGGTTAAAATTACAACACATATTTTTGAGGGACACAACTCAATCCATAAAACTATTGTATGTGTTACAAACTCTTTTCAGTCTTATAGTTAACATCATGGATCAATAGATTCCTTCTACAAAATATTATTATAAGTTATAATCTATTTTTTATTTTTTTGTTAGTATGGTGTTATTTCCACTTAATTGTCTTTGTAAATAGAAGACAGACCTTGAGAAATTCAAAAGAATTCAACTGATTCTGACTGGGGCCTTGTTTTTTTTCTAACAAACAAGACTAAATCTACCATCTGTATTTCCTTTAGATGTCTGACTAAAAAAATAAAATATGTTTATTTTTGGCATTTGTTGAGGATGTTATGAACCTGGGATTTCAAAATTAAAATCCTACTAGGAACTCATCAATGGTTGTCTTAGTTATCTAGTGTTGGTATAACAGAAATACCACAAATGGGTGGCGTTAATAAATAAAAATTTATTTTCTAACAGTTTAGGAGGCTAGACGTCCAAATTCAGGGTGCCAGGTTTCTTTCCTTGTTGACTCTATGGGAAAGCCCTTGTCCTTTGCAGCTTCTGTGCCTCAGTTCCTTGGCAATCTTCCTGTGGCCTGGCATCCATCACCTCCCATCTCTACGTGCTTCTCTGTGCCTAATCTGCTCATTTTATACCTCAAAAGTGATTGGCTTAAGACACACCCTACACTGTTAGGACCTCATTAACCAACAAAGAAAACTCCATTTCCAAAAGGGATTTTATCCACAAGTATAGGGGTTAGGATATACAACATATATTTGGGAAGGGAAGCTCTGGTGGTGTAGTGCTTAAGGCATTTGACTGCTAACCAGAAGGCTGGTGGTTCAAACTCACCAGCCACACCTTGGAAGGAAGGTTAGGCAATCTACTTCTGTAGTGATACTGCCTCGGAAACCCAAGGAGGGGTCGCTGTGAGTTGGATCTGACTTGACAGCAGTGAGTTTGGTGTTTTGGTTTTTTTTTGTATTTTGAGGAGGCCATAATTCAGTCCATAACAGTGATAATGGAACAATTAAGTTTTGTTCAGGTAGAGGGAACTCTCTGTAGTTAAAGAAATTTAATTCAAAACTTAGTCAATCCCATTGCTATCATATCCCAGCTCAGTGAATACTAGATTGTTTTAACTATTTTTACATTGAGAATACTTTCATAAACGTTGTCCAGATTATTAAATTTTTAGAGAAAGAGAAGAAATGATACGTTTGAGGTCACTCCACTGTGGCATTGATTTAAAAAAAAAAAATCTACAAAGAAAGAAGTAGAATCAACCGCTAATACAATATGAAAGATGACATGGTAGAATATTTAATAATGATATTAATGATGACAAATTTTATTATATAATGAATGAAAAAATCTAAAAGAGGAAAATACATAGCATCCAGATTTATCCATCTATCTACATAGAAAGAGGTGACATTATTAACATTTGTTAACTGTAAGTGGTGTGATTGACAAACTTTATATTCTTTATGTATTTCACTAATTTTCTACAACTTTTATTTGTTATTTGGCTGGCATTCCAACTTTCTATAACAAACATTTATCATTTTTCCACAGAGGAATTATTTTTTAAATAAAATTCATATAAAAATATAAAACTGATTTGACTTTTAGAAATAATATGTCAAGGAGGGATGGACACAGGGAAGAGGTAACTCTCAGGAGGAAGTGGGAGGGGACCTGTTGCATTGGGATAAATTGTAGTCAATGTCATGTGACAAAGTGTATGTGAACTGCTGTATGGAAAGTGAATTTGCTCTGTTAACTTTCACCCAGATCACAATTAAAAAAAAAAAGAAATAATGTATCAAATCCTCCTAAAGCAAAACAAGTATGTGTGTGCCTCTTAAGATATATATCCTTCACCTTAGTTTCAAATACTTAAAAACAAGATTTCTTTACAGAACTAAAGATGACTCAGAACCACCTGAAGAAGAAATAGTAGAAAGGACAAGGAAGCCAAGTCTCTCTGAAAAGAGAAATAATCCATCAAAATGGGATGTTTCTTCAATGTAAGTTGTCCATTCGCTAAATAATACCATTTGGTGGCAGTGGGGAAAAGACAGGGTTAACAGTATTAACACCAAGTCAATTCCTACTCATAATGACTATAGGACAGAGTAGAACTCTGCCCCATAGGGTTTCTAAGGCTGTAAATCTTTAAGGAAGCAGACTACCTAATCTTTTTCTCTCAGAGTGGCTGGTGGGATTGAACTGCTGCTGACATTTCGGTTAACAGTCAAATGCTTTAACCACTGTACCACCAGAGCACCTTACTTTACTAAAAAAACAAACTAAACTCACTGCGGTCAAGTCGGTTCCCACTCATAGAGACCCTTCCTTGGATTTCCAAGGCGGTATCACTACGGAAGTAGATCACCCAATCTTCCTTCCAAGGAGTGGGCTGGTGGGTTTGAAGCACCAGTCTTCTGGTTAGCAGTCAAATGCTTGAGGCACTACGCCACCAGAAGTCCCTACTTTACTAAAAGACCTATCAAATTGTTAAAAATAAAATAAATAGTAAATTGGTAATAGTCTACAATAGTTATCCCTGAATCTATGTTACAAGAAGCAGGAGAGTTTATAGTGTTAAGAACTTAACTCTGCAACCAGATGGCCGAGACTCAAATTCCAGCCCTCTAACTAGCTATCAAGGAGCTCTAGCAGTGCAGTGATTGAACCTTTGGCTGGTAACTGAAAGGTCATTGACTCAAACCCACCAGGGGCTCAACAGGTGAAAGATGGGACAATCTGCTTCTGTAATTATTTACAGTCTTGGAAACCACACAGGGCAGTTCCACTCTGTGCTATAGGGGTGCTGTGAGTAGGAATCAACTTGACATTAATGGGCAACTAGCTATAGAGGGGGAGCTCTGGTGGCATAGTGCCTAAGCCATTTGACTGCTAACCAGAAGGCTGGCAATTCAAACTCACCAGTCACTCCTTGGAAGGAAGATTGGGCAATCTACTTCCACAGAGATATTGCCTCAGAAACCCAAGGAGGGGTCGCTATGAGTCAGATCCAACTCGACAGCAGTGAGTTTGGTTTTTTTTTTAGCTATAGAGGAGTTCCAGTAGCACAATGATTAAGGTCTCAGCTGCTAACCAAAGGGTTGGAGATTTGAATCTACCAGCCTCTCCATGGAAGAAAAGACCTGGCAATCTGCTCCTGTTAAAAATTACAGCCTAGGAAACTTTATGGGGCAGTTCTACTCCAGTTTATAGAGTTGCTATGAGTTGGACTTGACTCAGCAGTCAACTAGGGATGAGTCCTCAGGAGGCATAAACAGTCAAGTGTTTGACTAATAACCAAAAGATTGGCAGTTCAAACACACTCATAGGCACCTTGATAGAAAGATCTGGTTATCTGTTCCCAAAAGGTCACAGCCATGAAAACTTGATGGAGTACAGTTTCATTCCGAAACACAGGGGTTGTCATCAGTCATAAATGATGGTTTTTGTTTTTTTAACTAGCTATATGATATAGGAAAGTTCAATCATTACTGAGCATCAGTTTATCTGTAAAATAGGGAGCATAATAGTACTTAAGTCACTGTGTTGTCATGATTAAATGAATCAGCACATATAAAGTACATAGTACAATGAATCAACCATTTTCAAAGACTTAACTGATGCTGCAATAAGCTTTTTTTGTGGGTATTTCTTTTAGAAATAGAGTTTAAATTTCAGTATACCACTGCTGTGGAGTCAGATCTGACTCATAGCAACCCCTCCTTCGCTTGCCGAGACAATATCACTACAGAAGTGATACTTCCTTCCAAGGAGTGGCTGGTGGGTTTGAACCTCCAGCCTTCTGGCTGGTAGTCAAATGCCTTAGGCACTATGCCACCAGAGCTCCCAAATTTCAGTATAGCAAAGTATAAGTGATGGTGAGAAATAAGTGATACGTTTATATACACATATATACGGCATACACATATATCCTTCTTCACCCAGTACATAATATTATAGTTGCGTTATAAGAATAAAAATTCCCCTACCTGGTTGAAAGAATGAGGTAAATACTGGAATGTACTGCAATTAGTGAAATAATGCTGAAATCATATTATTTTTAAATTCTCATCATAGCACATTATTTCTTTAATTCTAATAATTGGGCAGGGGGCAGATTATAGGCAAAATCAAGATTACAATATGCAGTTTAGTACAAGGCAATGTTGGTGGTTGGTAGGGACCAACAACTTGATTGTACTGTTAGCAAAAGGAGTGTTTTTTTCATAACAAATTATTGGGATCACCAAATTCTGTATTTGTTTCTTTCTTATAGTTATGACACAATAGCTTCCTGGGCAGCAAATCTCAAGACTTCCTTCAGAAAAGTGAATAAGGCACTCTGGATTTCTGTTGTCTTTATTGTACTGTTTGCAGCTTTGATGAGCTTCCTCACTGGCTTATTTTTCCAAAAGCCTGTGGATGCCGCTCCCACACAAAATGGGGATTCCTGGATGTCTCTAGAACATGCCTTGTGGCCTTTTACTAGACTCCAACACAATGGGCCACCACCAGTGTGACTGTGGTACATCCCAATATGTGCACTTTGATTTTAAGGTTTTAGTATCTGAACTCCTTAAATTAATAACTTTCAACCCAGAAAGGATAGCATGGAAGCAGAGGTCCTTGGCACAACTGTAACCTATTTTACATTCCTTCTTTCTGCTATTACCTCTCCAACAAAAATAAGTGGGGAGGAAACCTGTCTATGATTAACGAGCTTTCCAAGGAAGAAATATTATATATTGTTTTTATTTGTTAAAATTTATTGAAATAAAGATGCATTCAAATCTTCATACGGTGAAAGTTGGAATTTTCAGTAGGCCAAGTATAATTAGTAGGGAAATAAACACATTGTTTAAAATAAAATTTGAGTGTAAAATGGTGATTAGATAATTTTAATAGCTATTTGAAATATATTCACTTTTTACATTTTATTGAAGAAATGCCTAATTTATTTTTCAAGTTGCTTGATTCTTCAGATCTATGCTTGGTGATTAAGAATAGCTGAGTAATCTAGTAGAGAGTAGCATGTGACATACAGAATCGATAAACTGGCAGTTGGAGCCCCTAATTTTCTCTATGGCTTCTCCAGAAGCAAAATCCTTAACCATGTGATAGAGAGTAGAATGAAACTCAGTTTCATCTTTAAGTGCTTCAGAGAATGTCTCACTGTATTCGTTGATCTTCAGTCTTTGTGCTCTATCACCACTAAACATTAAAAGGGTCCAGTTGGGATACTCAGTATCAGGTTCTTGGTTAAGGTGTTCCTTTACCTGAAGGGAAAAAAAAATTAGAAAAATCTGCTAGTAGTTTCTCTTCTACTAGCTATTTTGGTAGTAGAGTATCACTTGAAGAGCTCAACTCAACTCACAATTGCTAACATAAAAGAAAAAAGAACATTAAAATTGTGGTAAAAAATATATCTAAGAAAACATTTTACATTGCCACATTTTTCACATGCACAATTCAGTGACATTCATTAGGTTCATCATGCTGTACAACCATGCCTGCTAAAGAAACATTCTTAATGCTTCATTATTAATTTTTTTTTACCATCAAACTTAATCTTGGTACTTACTGAGCTTATCCACATGTATTCATTCATTCAACAAATACTTATTGGGCACCTGTCATGTGCCAGGCACTGTTCTATGTGCTGAGGGTATAAGAGTGTAGCAAAATAGAAAAAAACAACCAAAATATACTAAGAAATAAACAACAACTACAACAAAATCCATTCTTTGAGAAGTTTATATTCTAGAGGGGGAAACAGACAAAAGCAAATCATGATGATATGTTTCCTTACCAGGAAGCAGTACCTGTGGCAGAAAATCATGTGGGAGACCAGAGTTTGTGAATTACAGATGTAGTGACATTAAAGCCTTCTGTTTATTCTTGAGTTAATATAAAGAGATAAAGGACTCTGGCCTAAAGCCAAGAACATGTGATGAACAAGAACCACCATGGACAACAAATGTATAACCTTTTAGTTTGGTTTTATATTTTGACAAATTAAAAATATTTGAAGTTTTGAAAATATATTTTGAATGTCAGGTTTTTTTTTGTTTTGTTTTTGTTTTTTACCTTTTTAAGAAGGTAGCCATGGTTTATATTAATTTAGCTTTTGATTACCCTGTCTTCTTTTGAAAGACACATTCATTTGTGGGATTTTGCATGTTGTTAGATGCTGAGGAGTCAGTTCCGACTCTTTGTGACTCTATGTACAACAGAGTGAAATGCTGCCTGGTCTTGCACCATCCTCACAATCACGGCTATGTTTGAGCCACCGTTGCAGCCACTGTGTCAATCCATCTCATTGACGTCTTCTTCTTTTCGGATTTTGCATACTATACCTGAAAAATAACTTTGTTGGAATCACATCTTACATTCCATCTGCTCCAACTAAATGCAAAAGCAGAACTTAGCAGGGCCATTTGTCGATAAGCTTTCAATTCTACCAAAGGAACCTGTCAGTATAAAAACAAGTAGAATTAGTAACAGAGCCTCCTGACAAGTATCCTGTCTGTCCTTGCCCTCCTACAGTCTATTCTTAACTTCAAAAAAATCAAACTCACTGCCATCAAGTCGATTCCAACTCATAGTGACCCCCATTGGGTTCCCAAGGCTATAAATTTTTGCAGAAGTAGACTGCATCATCTTTTTTCTGCAGATCAGCTCATGGGTTTGAGCCACCAATCTTTTCGATTAGCAGCCAAATGCCTTAACCAGTATACCACCGGAGCTCCTAATTAACTTAGAAGGATCCATTTAAAATGTAAGTAGAATTTCATGCCTGTTTTCTTAAAACCCAGCAGTAGTTTTCGCTTACAGAGTAGAATCCAAAGTCCTAACAATGATCCAAGGCCCTCCTTGATCTGATCTTGCCCCAGCATACATATCTGCCCCACTATCTCCCTAACCACATCTCTCCTTGTCATTATTCTTTGCTGTCTCAGCTCCAGGTGCCCTGACCTCCTTGCTGTTCCATTCTCAAGCACCCCAGGCTACTTTCTCAGGGCTGTGCTGCAGCTGATAGCTCTACCTGCAAGCTGCTCCTCCAGAAAGCCACTTGGCTAAATGCCCTACCCTCAAGTTTTTCTCAAGTCTTACATTTTCATTGAGGCCCCACACACCCCATTCTATATTATAAGCTACTCCAGCCCCACTATTCCTGATTTAACTTTTCTTTTTCCACAGCACTTACACCTTTTAACATATTAATTTTCTTAAAAAAAATGTTTATTATTTATTTCTGCCTCCCTCTACTGGAATGTGAAGGACTCTGGTAGCATAGTGCCTAAGACACTGGACTGCTAATCAGAAGGCTGGTGGTTCAAACCCACCAGCCACTCCTCAGAAGGAAGATGAGGCAATCTACTTCCGTAGTGATACTGCTTCAGAAACCCAAGGAGGGGTAGCTATGAGTCGGGTCCGAATTGATGGCACATAACAATAACAACTACTGGAATGTAAGCCCCTCAGGGGCAGGTCTTTGTTTTATTCACTGATGTATCCTAATCGTATGAAATAGTGTCTAACATATAAACCAAAACCAAACTCATATAGGTGTTCAAAAAATATTTCTTAAATAGGAAAATATTTTGAAAACTATACTGCTCTCAGAATTTGCAGAGTAAAGAAAAGCTGAGTTATTAAAATCAAAGTTTTCTTTCTTCGATGCATGTATACACATAGCCTATCTATGTGTTTATCTTCTAATGTTATATGAAAGTCTACCTATATTGTTTTGTCAATTTTTGGTACAGTCATAAACATGTTAATTAAAAATGAACTAATAAGCTTAAAAGTTAAACTTGTTAAACACACAAATAAGTAGAGGCATAGACTTTTTTTTGCTTAAAAAACTTTGTAAAACATGTCTCAACACCAAAGGAATTAACAATCCAATTGAAAAACAGGCAGAAGACATGAATAGACACTTCACCAAGGAGGATATTCAGGTGGTCAGCTGATACATGAAAAGATGCTCACAATCATTGGCCATCAGAGAGATGTAAATCAAAACAACAATGAGATATGCCACCTCACCCCAGCACTGTTGGCAAGGTTCAATGAGACAGAAAATAACAAATGCTGGTGGGGAGGTGGAGAGATTGGGACTCTCATACACTGCTTGTGTGACTGTGAACTGACACAACCACTGTGGAAAGCAATATGGCAATTCCTTAGAAAGTTGGATTTGGAGATACCATTTGACCCAGCAATCCCATCACTAGGTATATATCCTAGAGAGGTGAGAGCCAAGATAGGAACAGATACATGCACACTCATGTTCATCACAGCACTATTTACAATAGCAAAGAGATGGAAACAACCTACATGCCCATCAGTGGAAGAGTGGGTGACCAAACTATGGTACATACACATACTGGAATGCTATGCAGCACTAAAGAATAATGCAGAGTCTGCAAAACACTGCATAATATGGATGAACTTGGAGGACATTATGCTGAGTGACATAAGTCAATCACAGAAGGACAAATACAGCATTAGTTCATTGTTGTGGAGGGTCAAGGAAAGGCTTATATATGGAGGGAAACTTTCTTTGTTGGTTTCCAGGGGTGGGAGGGGAGGGGAGGGAACACTGCAAAAAAAAAATGCATTGACTCATGTCCCTTTAGTTTTATGTATTTCACTGTATATAAACTATATTTCAGCATAAAAAAAACTTTGTAAAACAGCCTAAAAGTTTCTTGAGTATAGAACCCATTTGCCTACACAATACACCTTTCATGACTAGAAACTGCTTTGTCTTCATTTATATATCACAAATGTTTACTAACCATCTACTGTATTCCAGAGATATGGTAGGAGCTAGAAGATCAAAATTGATTATGAAAGAACCCCTGTCTTCAAGCAGCTCACAGTTTAACAAGGAAGGAGCTGATTTAACCAAAGTCTTATTAGTAAGATGGAGCAATATACAGAGAAGAGGACAATGCCAAGAAACAGAAGGAAGTCAGTTTTGTACATTGGTGGTCCATGTATGCATTTAATTTTTCCTCACTTGTCATGTTTGGGAAAGTGTGGAGTAATTTAGTCTTTTTCACAGAAGAACATATACAAAATAAGAAGTTTACTCAGGCTACCTCTGTATGAAACTGACCAAACCAAAACCCAAAGCCACTGTTATAGAGTCAATTCCTACTCATAGCAACCCCTATTGGGTTTCCAAGGCTATAAATCTTTATGGAAGTAGATTGCCTTATCTTCCTTCTGTGGAGTGGCTGTTGGGTTTGAACCACTGAACTTCTGGTTAGCAGGCAAATGCCTTATGCACTGTGCCACCAAAGCTCCATTAAATTGACAGTGGTAGATATATTTCATTCACCAATATGAAGATCGTAACACAGGCTTACTTTCTTTGGGAAGATTATTAAACTTGAGAGAACCCTAGTGATAGTTTCTGATCTCGTCTCTTACTTATTCCTTCCCTTCTTCCTGTATAAGTGAAAAAAATATATAAAACTCATGGTATAACTTAAGATTTACTTAAATGTTAATACTTAACATTCTAAATGACCACTACATTAATTTGGAAAGATTAATTCTTGCCTTATTGTTTATAACAACATAAAAATGAGAGTGTCCAGTAGGGAAGATATTCAATCCAACTTCTTTCAATGCAATAATGAAAGGAATAGGAGTCATCCATTTGCCTTTCAAAACAGAGAAATGCTCTTTGTGTTTTAGTTTGATTGAAGCTAACATGCAGAGGTTTTCCTAGTATCAACAAGAAAAAAAGAAGTTTTTATACAAGCAAGTTAAAAGAAATTATTACTTCAGTATCATCCAAGATCCAGTCTTTTTGATCTTTACACTATTTTTTAAAAAATTACGTGTCACTCTATATTAAAAAGCATTCAGAGTAGGCGTATTTTAGCCCTAATCTAGAAGCTCTGCCATGGTCTCCATGTTACCTTAAACAGTTTATGCCATTGAGTCTACCAACTCTATTCTACTTTGATAGCAACAGTGATTAGAACTTTTATGAATTATACTTAAAAATTTTTCACACATCTAAGATGATGCAAAATTATTATCCAATTTTAAAGTCTGGCAAAGTGGGAATTTGAAGGCATACAGAGTTCCCATCTCTCATCTTGTATTAAAAGCAAAGTTTGGTGGTATTCTAGTCTTTTTTCTGTATTCAAGCAACTCTAGGCTGTTTTATTTTTTAAACAATTTTATTAAGGTGTATTTTATGTATCATAAAATTCACTCATTTCAAGTGTACAACCCAATGACTTTACTGAGTAGTCCAACAATCACCATAAATCAATTTAAGAACACTTTCACCACTCCAAAAAATTTGTTATGCCCAAACGGTGATTTGTTACAGTTAATCACCATTATAAGCTCCTCCTCAAAAAAACCCAAACTCACTGCCGCAGAGTCAGTTCCAACTCATAGTGATCCAACTTTGGGTTTCTGAGGCAGTATCTCTACAGACGTAGATTGCCCAGTCTTCCTTCCAAGGAGTGGCTGGTGGGGTTGAACTACCTACCTTCTGATTAGCAGTCAAATGCCTTAGGCACTACACCACCAGCAACCATTAATCTATTTTCTGACTCTAAATTTCAGGCTATGTAATTTCTGATTCATACATTCCATGTTCTGATTATTAAGAGATGTTTGCAGCTATTTCTTCTCATTGTCAGTCATGCCACATAGCATATGATGGTACAGAAAGCATTATTCCATCCATGCCATCAATGTCAACTCTACTTTGAGGAGCCAGCTCTTTCTCGGTTGTATTCTGAGTGTCTTTCCAACCTGAGGGGCTGATCCTCAAGCACTACATCAGAGAGTGTTTTCCTGCTATTCATAAGGTATTCAGTGGGCAATTTTTTCAGAAGTGGACCTGGCCATGTCATTCATCCTAGTCTGTCTTAGTTTGGAAGCTCTGCTGAAACCTGTCTACCCTGAGTGACTCTGCTGATATTTGAAATATCAGTGCCATAGCTTCCAGCATCACAGTAATACACAAGTCACCATAGTATGGAAAGCTGACAGACAAGAGGTGGAAACTGGAAGTTGTAAAAACGGAAATGGAATGCATAAAGATTGATATCCTAGACATTAGAGAGCTGAAATCGACTGGTAATGGCCATTCTGAATTGGACAATCAAGCGCTGGAAATGATAAATTGAAGAGGAATGGAGTCACATTCATCATCAAAAAGAAAATTTCAAGATATATCTGAAGTATAATCTTGTCAGTGATAAGAAAATAACCATACACCTACAAGGATGACCAGCTAATACGACTATTATTCAAATTTACACACCAACCACTAAAATGAAAGTTGAAGAAATTAAAGATTTTCACCAACGTTTGCAGTTTGAAATGTCATCGTGATGTATTGATAATTACTGGTGATTGAAATGAGAAAGTGGAAATAAAGAAGACACATCAGTGGCTGGAAAATATGGCCTTGGTGATAGAAATGATGCCAGAGACCACATGATAGAAGTTTGCAAGACTAGTGGTTTATTCATTGCAAATACATTTTTCAACAACATAAATGGTGACTATACATGTAGAACCACAAGATAGCATACACAGGAAAACTGACTACATCTGTGGAAAGAGGTGATGAAGAAGCTTAGTATCATCAGTCAGAACAAGGACAGGGGCTTACTCTGAAACAGACCATCAATTGTTCACATGCAAGTTCCAGTTGAAGCTGAAGAAAATTGAAACAAGTCTGTAAGAGCCAAAATACGACCTTGATTATTTCCTACCTGAATTTAGAGACCATCAGAAAAATAGATTTGACACACTGAACACCAAGGACTGAAGACCAGACCAGTTGTGGGATGACATTAAGGACATCATATGTGAAGAAAGCAAAAGGTCATTAAAAATTAAAGAAAGAAAGAAAAGACCAAAATGGAAATCAGAATAGATTCCAAAACTTGCTCCTGAATGGAGAGTAACTGGAAGAAATGATGACATAAAATAAAGCAAATGGAAGAAATGATGCAAAATAACTGAACAGATTTCAAAGGGCAGTTTGAGAAGACAAAGTATTATAATAAAATGTGCCAATACCTGGAGTTAGAAAGTCAAAAGAGAAGAACACACTCAGCATTTCTCAAGCTGAAAGAACTTAGAAAAATTCAAACCTTAACTTGCAATAGTGAAGGATTCTGCAGGCAAAGTATTGAGCAATGCAGCAACCATCAAAAGGAAATGGAAGGAATACACATAGTTACTGAACAACAACAACAAAAAAGGCTCCCAGAATTAAGGAAGCACTCATTGGGATGTTCCAACAAATGACGAAGAGCTGGAGGCACTCACTCATTTATACTAAGAAATTTGGAAGACAGCTATCTGGCCAACTGACTGAATGAGACCAATATTTGTGCCCATTCCAAAGAAAACTGATCCATCAGAATGCAGATATTATCAAACAATATCATTAATATCACAGGCAAGTAAAATTTTCCTGAAGGTAATTCAAGAATTGTTGGAATGGTTTATTGACAGGGAATGGCCAGGAATTCAAGCCAGATTCAGAAGAGGACAGGAATGAGGGCTATCACTGCTGATTTCAGATGGATCTTGGCTGAAAGCAAAGAATATCAGAAAGATGTTTACTCGTGTTTTACTGACTATGCAAAGTCATTTGACTGTGTGCATGATAACAAATTATGGATAACACCAGGAAGAATGGGAATTCCAGAACATTTAATTGAACTCATGAGGAATCTTACTCTAAATGACTACCAAAAGATAGTCAGGAAGGTGTGCATCAGCATTGTATTCTATCACCATACTTATTCAATCTGTATGCTGATAAAATAATCCAAGACGCTGGACTATATGAAGAAGAATGTGGCATCAGGATTGGAGGAAGCCTCATTCATTAACAACCTGTGATATACAGATGACCTGACTTTGCTTATTGACAATAAAGAAGACTTGAAGCACTTACTAATGAGGATCAAAGACTACAGCTTTCAGTATGGATTACATTTCAACATAAAGAACATAAAATTTCTCACAACTAGACCAATAAGCAACATCATGATAAATGGAGAAAAGACTGAAGTTGTCAAGGATTTCATTTTCCTTGGATCCATAATCAATGCTTATGCAACCAGCAGTCAAGAAATCAAACAACATATTTCATTGGGCAAACCTGCTGCAAAAGTCCTCTCTAAAGTGTTAAAGAGCAAAGATGTCACTTTGAAGACTAAGGTGTGCCTGACCCAAGCCATGGTATTTTTCATAGCCTTTTGTGCATGTGAGAGTTGGACAGTGAATAAGGAAGACCACAATAGAATTGGTACATTCGAATGGTTGTGTTGGCAAAGAATATTGAATGTATCCTGGCCTTGTTGTTGTTGTTGTTGTTATGTGCCGTCGAGTCGGCCCCGACTCATAGTGACCTCTCCTTGGGTTTTCGAGGCAGTATCACCTGGCCTTACAGATAAACAAAAAATCTGTCTTGGATAAAGTATAGCTAGATGCTCCTTAGAAGTGAGAATGGGCAGACTTCATCTCTCATACTTTGGTTATGTTCTCAGTAGGGACCAGTCCCTGGAAGCATATCATGCTGGGTAAAGCAGAGGTCAGCAAAAAAAGAGGAAGACCCTCAATGAGATGGATTGACACAGTGACTACAACAATCGACTCAAGCATAGCAACAATTGTGAGGATGGCACAGGACCCAGCAGTGTTTTGTTCTGTTGTACACAGGGTCACTATGAATCAGAACCAATTACACAGCACTGAACAACAACAATCTCGGATGAATGAGCAATAGATGCTCATTCAGAGATGCAAACTTCTGAGGGAATTTCAAATGGCTGGATGATTAAGGTCAGGGAGCCCCTTTCGGGTGGATCAAAACCTGAAATTCATACTGCAATCAGGCTTGTAGCTATATTAATTGATCTATCCGTAGTTACTTTAGAATACAAGTTTGAAGTTTACCTCTTACATGCTATTGTCTATGTAATTTTTCAACTTCTATTTCAATTTGAAATTGTAGTTAAATGTACATCTTATATGTATTTATAAAAGACATATTTCAAGAAATAAACCAGCAGTGATTTATTGCTCTGATAACTCTCTTATATCCATCACAGAGATTTACTTTTTGGATATGACCTAGTCATAATACACCTAACAACAATAACAACAACAGACATAACAGTAATTCACCTTAATTTGAATTTGAATCTCAGTAAATACTGTAGTCACTGTCAAAAGTACTTTATTCACATCAAGCGGTCTTAGTTCCCATGACTGGTATGGCATGTTAATATGAGTATCTTGAATCAAGGTGACAGGGCCAAAAGTTTCCAGGTTGAATGTAATAAGTCTCTCTTCTGAATTATAAGTAACACGTCTGATGCCATCTGTTCGCCAAAGCTTACCTTTATAAATAAGTGAAGAAAGTGACATTAGTTTCACTTTTCCTATAAAAAATTGGCTGAATAAAAGCATCCAAATAAGTGTTGTGTGTATACATTGACCTTTTACATTTAGAATAGACTCTCAACAAGCTGATTTTGCTAAACAGTTGCCCCTTGCCTATAGGATCAAGCCCAAATTCCTCATCATGGTATGCAAGAACCTTCAAAGGAAGCTCACCTCACTTTTCTGTTCTCATTTCCTGCCATTTCTCACACATCAGTTATCAGCCGCTTCTTATCTTACTCCAACAACATCATACACTTGGGTGCATTTGCATATGCAGTTCTTTCTTCCTGGAGGACTTACCCCAAAACTTTTAGAGAACCTCTCTCTCTTTTTTTCTTAAACAAAAACAAGTTTAAAATTCACCTATTTTAAGTGCACAATGAAATTATTTTTAGTATATTTACCCAGTTGAGTAACCATCACCACAATCCAATTTTAGAACATTTTATTCCCCTAATGAGATTCGTTACGTCCATTTACAGTTAATTTCTGTTCCCACCCACAGCAGGAAACCACTAATCTACTTTCTGTTTCTAAAGATTTGCCTCTTTCTGGACTTCTCATATAAATGCAATCATAGGTGGCCTTTTGCATCTCTTACCACTCAGTATTAAAACATCCCAATTTAAAAAGGGACAAAAGACTTGAATAAGCATTTCACTACAGAAGAGATGCAAAGGCTAGTAAGTACATGAAAAGATGTTCAACATTATTTGTCATTAAGGGAATACAAATTAAAACCACACTGAGATACCACTATACATCCACTATAATGACTATAGTAATAATAATATTATTAATAATAATAATGATAAGGATGAAGAAACCACCAGGCATTACATGGTAAGCATATAAAATATCCTAGCTACTTTGCCTAACAGTTGCCTGGTTCATAGTGTTAAACATAAAGTTACCATTGGATGCAGCAATTCCATTCCTAGGAAAATGAAAACATAGCTCCACACAAAGACTTGCATGCAAAGGTTCTCTTCATCTTTTAAGGCCACATTCAATGTTCCATCTTATGAGAAGTCTTCCTTAGCTTTCTTAGAACAATTCAGTCACTTCTATGCTCTATAGCACTTTGGCACCTTCTCACTTACTCTCACTGCCATGGAGTCAATTCCAACTCAGAGAGACTCGCATTGGGTTTCCAAGGCTGTATATCTTTACAGAAGCAGGCTGCCCCATCTTTCTTCCATGGAGAAGCTGTGGGTTCGCACCACTGACCTTTTGGTTAGCAGCCAAATGCCTTAACTACTACACCATGCGAGCTCCTTATTATAGCACCTTACTACTTTGCATTATGATATATTCCCCCATATGCTTTTGCTAAAATCTAAAAGCTCTTACAGAAAAGAATGTTTCATTTTTCTCTATATTTCTCACTGTTTAGTATGTTTATGCAACAAATGAATGAATCATTCTCTTCCTAGAATGAATGCCCTCTCCATTTCCACTTGGCTCTTTCATCTTCTCATATGAAGGATTCCACTGACTAGTTTTTACTCTTAAATTCAGTATAATAAATAGAATTATATCAATAAACTGAGTTATTTATAACCCTTCTTTTGGCTTGTAAATTAACAAAATTATTTTAATTTATAAATATAAAAATTAGGGGTTTGCTGGTCTGATAGAGCCTGGTAGAAACACTGAGACTATGGCCCCTAACTGCCCTTCAGGTCTGGAACTGAACCTACACCTGTGGTTTCCAGCCAAACAAAAGACAGGCATATGAGTTGAACATTTACCTCAAGTAGATACACTCCTTGGAGAGAACAATCATGGGAGAAAG